ATTAACCTAATATCATGTGATTCCATTCCTAGACACACAACTTTATTTTTGTTTATTTGTTATTGTTTATTTCCTTAACGTTTTTATTGTTTTATTATTCATATGTGCATACAATGCTTGGGTCATTTCTCCCCCCATTCCCCCACCCCCTCCCTTACTACCCACTCCACCCCCTCCATCTCCCCCCAACACCCTCTATACCCAGCAGAAACTATTTTGCCCTTATCTCTAATTTTACAACTTTATTTTTAAAAGTGATAAAGTCATAAATTTTTTAACAATGGAAGACATATTATTAGATAAGTTACACTTGTGCAAATATCATACAATGTACTTTACTTTGGCTACAACCATCATTAAGGATTCTCAGTCTATGAAGTTATCATACAGGCAGTCTGTACTTAAGTGGAATGCTGTACATAACTGTACTTTAAAGAAATTGGCATGAACACCCTCAGCATTATAAATTTACAGTAAATCACACTAGTGTTTGTTATAATAAATTATTTAAAGATCAAGTGAGAAATACAAAGAAATCCATACAAAAATGAACAAAAATGGAACATTTAACACCATCTTGATTGAAAAATCTTTAAAAGGAAAAGTAGAGGAAGTCAGTGAGGAATAACAAACACATATACAAACCAAGTCATAGATGCTTTGGGAACAGAAAATAAAGAGCAGGATGGATTAATTCACAGAGTTTGGCAGAGAGATTGCAATTTCAATTTAATTCTGATTTTACTGATCCCTCAAATGCAATAGGGCCCCACTTACATGTTTGTTCCTCAGGCTGTAAATGAAGGAGTTCAGGATGGGGTTAACCACAGTGTACATCACAAAGGCATTAGTGCTTCTTTGGGAAGATAGTGTTACAGTAAACACCAAGTCCTATTCCACACAACAAACAGACCACACAGAGGTGAGACTCACAGGTTGAAAATGCCTTATACTTGCTTGCAATGGAGGACATCATCAATAAAGAGGAGACAATCTGAGAGTAGAAGAGGATCTCACTCACAGGAAATATGACCATCAGGACAACTGACACATACAGGCAGATGATATTGATGAAGTTATCTGATCTGGCCACCTTTAGGACCTGAGATAATTCACAGAAAAATGTGGGATTTCAGTACCAACAGTGAAGGTTAGTTCCTTTATCAGTAGAAGGTGAAGCAGGGAGACCCAGACAACCATGAGCCATGACATTAAAATGAGGAAGTCACAGAAGTGAGGGTTCATGATTACTGTGTAGTTTAAGGGGTGACAGAGGGCCACAAAGCACTCAAAGGGGATCACATTCAATAGAAAATTATCGATTCCAACAAAGAACATAGAAAAATACATCTGATGGAGGCATTCAATATAGAAGATGTCTTTCCTCTGTGCCTGATGTTCACCTCATCTCTGGAACCATGGTGGAGGTGAAGCAGATGTCAATAAAAGGCGGGTTAGAGAGCAAGAAATACATAGGAGTATGGAGGTGAGAATCAGAGCTGGTGGTCAAAATGATGAGCAGATTCCCAAGCACTGCGACCAGGTACATGGATAGGAACAGTCCAAAGAGAACTTGCTGTATTTCAGGATCATTGGAGAGACCCAGGAGGAGGAATCCAGATACTGATGTATGGTTTTCCCCTTGCATGACACTGGTTGTTTTCCTTGAGAGACAAGTAAAAGTTCAAAAACATCCAACTGGAACTCAAGTAGTGATCACCAAAGGATACTTGTCCTTATCCTCCATATTTCATTACCATTACAATGAATCACATAACCAAGAGATAGCTCATTTTAATTTTCAATATTTACAAGTTCAAAAATTTGCATAAATATCTTGTTTTAACTCCAATCTCTTGACTTCCATTTTATAAGTTTATGTCTTTTGTAACATTTTGTACTATTGGAAATCATTTAATGTGTTTTCGCTGATAATTTCCATACATTTGTAATTTCAATAGCGCTACAGTAGTGAGATAAAATGTACTTACAACTCACATAATCAAAACTTCTTGATGTGGCACATCCTAATGATGTAATAGTTACCTAAAGGAGTCTTTTTTTCTCTGTAATATTATTATTAATATTCTCTTGTTTTGAGGTTAAATATGTTTCAGTATAATAGGAACATTAATCAGTGATAGTTCTTAATTATTATTAACCTTTTTATGAAAATTTAGATATATTATTATCCCAAATCTCTGAAAGTAGATTTAGAAATTTACTATTTCCATCAAATTTTCTGGAGCAAAATTTTGTCCAACAGCTGACCATTTGTGTGACCCTCAGGAGGTTGTTTAAATTCTTTGAGCTACAAATACATTTCCTGAAAAATAGCACTACAATATTATTGAAAAGATTAATTATACAACACAGTGAAGCAACTGGTCTACTCTTGGTCCTGACACAATGGGCATTTTTAAATGTCAACTTTTACTCTGAATGTAAGAGTAAATCTCTTTTGCATGCTTGTCATTTACAAACATCCTCTCTAGTTGGAACTGCAATCAACAATGGAATTCTGATCACTATAAATAGTATATATCTATTACCTATTTTGACTGGCATGCAGTACTTCTGATCAAGATGTAAACTGTGGCTTCTCCTTTCTGAGAATGTCTTCTAGCTGAATTCTTCCAAAAACAGCAAAAAGAATGTGGTGTACATAGATTAGAGGAAAAACAATAGCAGACTATCACTAAAGTAAAAAATGCAATGCATGCTCCAGAGTCCATGATCTTTAATTTGTATATGTTATATCCAAAACAGCAGTTGATGAAGAAAATTCTTCCTTATAGCTGAAAAAATCCCTGTTGTATGGATATGTTTGTATATGTATTTATACATATGTGTCACATACTTTAATCCATTCATCACTTGAAAGGCATCATTCTTATTTTTATACCTTTGCTATTGTGAAGAGTGCTGCAAAAAATATTGTTGTGGAAGTTTTATGATATCCAAGACTTACACTCCTTCTGGTATATCTCTATGAGTAGTATTTGTTGCATTATTTTTTGTATTGATTTTCTTTGCACCTTTTAAAGTTTCTCACAATTCATGGGCAATAAAGTACCTTTTTAACATGTTTCCTAAAGATATTCCTGATATATCCAACATAAAGAAAAGCTTGCATGAATGCTGACAAGGTTGAGTTAATTGTGACATGCAAGTTTTATTGAAATAAGAGAGGCATATAGAAACAGACACTGAATAATAAAATCTGGTAAGAGTAAAGTTCTCAGAATATATAAACAGGTCTTAATGTCAGAAGAGTGTGCAACACACACAATTAGAGAGTGAGCAATAACTTTCAAAAGACAGTTTACATAATAAATACATAAATTGTCAAAAGGCCTTAAAAGTTTCTCAATCAGCCATAGGGATATGCAAATGAGAAGCATAATATGATTCACTCCTCAATCCAAAGAATGCTATACATTCTACAAAAGTTGAAACAAATGCAATTGCAAATATGGAAATATATGAGTAACATATATTATTGTGAAATATCTACCAGATATCTTTAGAAGAGTTTCTTAATTTGGACAATTAATATGAGATAAGTGATAGTAAAAAAGAGAGACGTTCAAAAATGGTTTGGATACTTTAAATAGTTAGATGTGCAAAGACGATATGATCCCATATCTCCACCACTCAATATTTAAACAAATATGTAAAAAATATATACTTGTGCTTAATAGAAAGACATGTACTTACAGATTTTTGGGCAATATCATGAGTATTCAACCATGATAGAACTGACTTACCAAACAGAGAGCTACAATTTACAACACAATATGGTGTTATGTGACACAATTATATATGAATTTTTTATTGTTTGGAAAAAATGCAGAACATTACTCAAATGTTCATGATTCTTCATTGCATTCCCACTCCAGATTGGCAAAACTCTGATTACCAAGATTTTCACCATTGATAAGTGAATATATAACTTGTGATGTATGCTTAGTTAGACAAGTTTCAAAAAATGACTCAACTACAAGAGGATCACAGTTTGAGCCTATCTTGGGTCAAAATTTAGTGGAAAGAACCAGAGCATGGCCATTGTTCATGCCTATTATCCCAGCAATGAGGGAGTCATACACAGGAAGATCATGGGGGGGTGGCAAGTTAGAGAAAATGAGACCCCCTAACTAAAAAATGAATGGTTCAAGTGGATAGTACTTGCTTCACAAACAAAATACTCTGAAATTAAATCCTTGTACTCCAAAAAACAAAGCAAGACAACAGCAACAACAAAGTGTCATAAAATATAGGGAGGAATGAGAAAATGAAAGAGGGGAATGTATAAAGGAGAAAAAGGAAGAAAGCAGCTAGGAAGATAAAATTAAAGACAAAAAGAATGGATAATATCTCAGAGTTTTTGTAGGCATTGTGATACGGTCATATGAGCATGTCAGCATTTAAAGTTATTCACCTTTCATGTTGAAGATCCTCTCAGAAATATAACAAAAGTTAGATACCAAAGATAGAAAAGAGGCACTGTATCAAGTTCCATATAATTGTTCTTTCCAATCCACCTCTTCATTTCAGAAGTATAAATAAGAGAAAATACCTCAAACAAAAATGTTCAGGATTAAATATGGTCACATATATTAAGCCACAGTCACAGTGTTGGGGTGGCTAACATTTTTCATTAACTGTTTCGTGATGTCACTCTGTTTCTTTCACAAAATAAAAAGGAATATTCCAAATTAAAGGGAAACCTTTAACATACAACCAGGTAATTTTAGTATGCATTCATGAATTTGATAAATTGAGTGAATGTTAAGCTGAGAAATCTCAAGAAATATGCAGAAAACCCATGAAACGTGAAATACTATGAACCATCTACATGAAGGAAAATGCCAAATGAATTATTAAGGAAATGTCTGAGGAGAAAGATATAAAAATAAATATAAAGAAGTTCATAGTTACTATGGCAATAGAAGAGAGAAGAATCTCAATCAAATTTTAAAAATTCAAGATACGTAAATTCAAGGTGTGCTCCTAATGGACCTCAATGTCCACTTAGTTCTGAAGTCACTAATAAATGAAGGACAAGATACTGCTCTGCTGAGGTGTTTTCTCAGGGCCCCTATTACATCCTTGTTCCTCAGGCTGTAGATGAAAGGGTTTAACATGGGAGTGACCACAGTGTACATCACTGAGAAAATCATGCTTCTCTGGGAAGAACGGCTCACTGCAGAACTGAGATTAACACTAATACCTGTTCCATAAAACAAACAGACCACACAGAGGTGAGAGCCACAGGTGGAAAATGCCTTATACTTGCTCACAACAGAAGAAATCCTCAATAAGGAACAGACAATTTGATAGTAGGAGAAAAGGATCCCAACCATAGGAATTGCACCCAACAATGCAGCTGTCACATACAGGCAGATGATATTGATGAAGGTGTCTGAGCTGGCCACCTTGAGGACCTGAGCTAATTCACAGAAGAAATGTGGGATTTCAGTGTCTACCATGAATGTCAGTTGCTTAATAAGTAGAATATAAAGGATAGAGATCCAGAATATAATAAACCAAGACATCAGAACCAGAAAGGCACAGAATTGAGGGCTCATGATGACCATGTAGTTAAGGGGATTACAGATAGCAACAAAGCGGTCAAATGCCATCACAGATAATAGGAAATTTTCCATTCCAGCAAAAATTATTATAAAACACACCTGAGTGAGACACCCACTATAGGAGATGTCTTTGTTTTGTGCCTGGATGTTCACCAGCATCTTTGGGACTGTGGTGGAGATGAAACAGATGTCAACAAAAGACAGGTTGGAGAGGAAGAAGTACATGGGGGTGTGGAGGTGTGAGTCAGAGCTGACAGCCAGGATGATGAGAAGGTTCCCAAGCATTGCTCCCAAGTACATCAACAGGAACAGTCCAAATAAAAATGGCAGTAATTCATGATCATCAGAGAGGCACAAGAGCAAAAATCGTGATATTGATGTGTGGTTTTCTCCTTCCATATCACTTGACTTTTTTCCTTGAAACACAAGAAAAAAATCTTAAAATCACTCAAGTAGTTACCACTTCACATTATCTCCCTTGGATTGTTGTAATTTATCCTCCAGGTTCTTCCCAGAAAGTGATTCATGTAGTCAAGAAGTAGTACATTTAACTTTTAATTACATAATAGGCAGATGTTGTTTGGGCACTAAGATGAAACAAGTACAATATAGAATGAATAAAGCTTATCAATATGTGATACATAGTAGTAAGTGTAGATTGGGCAAGAACAGAAATTTTGATGAGTAATTAATAAATAAATAACTTGCTGTAGGAAATTTGATAGAAGGGTACAATTCATAAGAAAGTAAGGACAATGTTTGAAGAAAATCCAGAAAATAACTTGTTGGAAAGAAGTTGTAGAATTGGAAAAGTGTGAGGAAAGAAAGCAATAAAAGAACAGAGAAAGGCTGGACTCTCTGAAATTGAAGTTCCTTCTAACTACAGAGACATCACTTACAAATAATAAGTAGACTTGGATATTCCCAATCTTTCAATCCTAGAGGTTAATAAAAATAGTCACTTTTGTCCAGTTTGTTTATGCTTTATTCTGCCTCCCTTCAACAGAATATGCTGAATCTCTCTGAAAATTGCAACTCACACATTCTTTTCTCCATAACCTTTTTCATATTCTCACAGAAATTGGAATCATAGAATGGACTGAGGAGGGCAACAGGGAAAATTTAAAGTTTGTAACTTGTTTGTGGTTAAATTATCAGGGGTCCCAATTAAATAAATGGCTCTACTGTCTTTCTAGTCTCCACATATTTTTGTTCCCTGGAGACACAAAGAAAATTGCACCATAGAAAATTTTCAATCAGATTTGTGTCTGTTAAGAAACTATAGTTAGTGGTAGATGTTTCTTCCAAGGGAAAATTCCTTAATTTTGGTTTGGTTTATCAGTCAAAAGTGCTAGGTAATACTATGTTCTACAAGGGAAAAAAGCCAGATAGCATCCCTCTATGGCATTTCCATTGAAAAACTTTTGGAGTGATTATGGAACATTTTGTTTCATAATTGTTATAGATAAAAATGCATTTAAAAAAATTTTCTATGATCATATTATTGTGGTACAGGAGGTACATTGTGACATTTACCAAAGTTCTTACAATATATCATAGTTGCATTCACATCCTTCATCATTCTCCTTTAACCTTCCCTACCTCCATTCTTGCCATGCTTTCCACATGTCTCATTTTTCTATTTTCATACATGAGAGCATAATATACCCACTTTATAAACCTTCCTACACACTTTCCTTATATCCTCCTCTCTCCCACTGTTATCAACCCTGAGACAGGATATGTTCTAACATCTTGCTGAGCATTTTTGAAAATAAGTTATTTAAGACAGCTATATAGGGAATTTCCTTGTGACAGCTCCATTTATGTACATAGTATAACCTGAATTGCTTCATGGTCTCATCTCACAATAAGACTCTTTTCTCCACTTCATTACCTCCTACATTTTCTCCCCCTTCCCCAAAGGTCTGCCCCTTCTTCTTTCATATATTTTTTAAACCTAGATTTGCCTATAAATTAACATAATATTTATCTTTCTGAGCCTTATCTACATTTCTATCAAATTTCATGCGAAACACATGTCATTTTCCTTGTACCATTGTGTATAAAAACATCTTACATCCACTCATCTGTTGACAGATGTCTTGGCTAACTCAATGAATTGACTACCCTTAATGGTGTCATAACAAACATGGTTGTGCAGAGGTCTCGGTTGTACACCAAATTTGATTCCTTTGGTATGTGTGCATTAGTGATGTATCATGATTTATCATGATATTACATATATATGTTTTTGTGTATAAAATATTATAAAATTGGTATAATTATACTCTTTTTCATCCTCTGTTATTCTTTTGAAATAAATGTGATTTAAAATTATTTACCTTTTTTTGGCTTTAAACATCTGTCTTTATTTTTTAATGACTTAAAAACTTTTTTATCACCATATTATTGTTATACTGGGGCATACATTGTGACATTCACAAAAGTTCTTAAAGTATATCATTGTTGATATTCTCCTTCCCCATTATTCTCTTACATTTTATGTCTATATAATTCAGAATTTGTTCCGTGTTTACAGAGGTAATTTTGATGTAAAAATTTATTATAAATCCAACATTTTTAGTTTCTCAAAATATACTAAGTTACACGCATTATGTAAATTATCCTGAAATAAAATGATTGCCAAAAACTAATATTAATCTCTCAATATCACAGAGAATTAAAGTATTGTCAAGCAAGATGTACTGTGGTCCCCCATACACTCTGTCAACTTGAGCTTTACATTGGTTACTGATCCCTTGCTCATGATAACCTGTTGTTTTAAGGTTTCTGTATTAGTTCCTCTGGAGTGAGGACATCAAACGCTTTCATGTTTTGGGTTTTCTTCTTATTCCTATATCTCCTGTATGGGCTCTCCCCTTGTCTTCTGAACCAAATCCAACCACATTGCTGAATTTGCCCTCCATCTAAAGTTGGCATATGAAGGAAAACATATGATTTTTGGTCTTCTGAGCCTAGCTGACCACATTCAGAATGATGTTCTCTAGTTCTATCCATTTAACTGCAAAGATAAGATTTCATTCTTCTTCATGTCAGAGTAAAATTCCATGGTGTATAAATACACATTTTCTTGATCCATTCAAAAGTAGTGGGACATCTTTGTTGTTTCCATAACATGGCTATTGTGAATAGCACTGCAACAAACATGGGTATGCAGGTGCCTTTGGAGTAAACTGCATTGCATTCCTTTGGGTATATCCACAAGAGTGGGATGGCTGGATATATGGCAGATCTATGTTTAGATTTTTAAGAAGCCCCAAATTTTTTCCAGAGTGGTTGCACAAGCTTGCATTCCCACCGGCAATGTCGAGGGTTCCTAGTTCCCCACATCCTCACCAACATCTGTTGTTGGTTGTTTTTCTAATGATAGCTATTTGAACAGGGGTGAGGTGGAATCTTGTGGTTTTGATTTGCATTTCCTTTATGGCTAAAGCTGGTGAGCATTTTTTCATGTGTTTTCTGGCAATTTGAATTTCTTCTATTGAGAAAGTTCTGTTTAGTTCAGTTGCCCATATCTTAATTGGTTCATTGATTTTGGGAGAGTTTGTTTCTTAAGCTCCCTGTATATTTCGGTTATCAGTCCCTTGTCTGATGTATAGCTAGCAAATATATTCTCCCACTTTGTGGGTGGTCTCTTCAGTTTATACAGCATTTCTTTTTTGTGCAGAAGGCTTTTAATCTTATGAAGTCCCATTTGTCCATTCTTTGTCTTAGTTTCTGGGCTGCTGGGGTTCTATTAAGGGAGTCCTTGCCCATTCCTATTAGTTCCAGAGTGTTTCCTGCTCTTTCCTGTAATAACTTTAGAATTTCAGGACTGATGTTAAGTTCCTTAATCCATTTTGAGTTGATACTAATACAGAGTGATAGACATGGATCTAGTTTTAGTTTCTTGCAGATCAATAACCACTTTTCCAAGCAGAGTTTGTTGAAGAGGCTGTCTTTTCTCCATCATATATTTTTGGCTTCTTTGTCAAAAATGAGCTGGGTATAGTTTTGTGGATTCATATCCGGGTCCTGTATTCTGTTCCACTGTTCTTCATGTCTGATTTTTTGCCAGTACCATGCTTTTTTTTTTTTTTTGCTATTGCTTTGTAATATAGTTTGAAGTCAGGTATTGTGATATCTCCAGCATTGCTCTATTTACTGAGTATTGCCTTGGATATTTGCAGTCTCTTGTGTTTGCAAATGAACTTTAGGGTAAATTTCTCAGTCTCTGTGATGAAAGTCATTGGGGTATTGATGGGAATTGCATTAAACATGTAGATTGCTTTTGGTAGTATAGCCATTTTTACTGTGTTGATTCTACTGATCCATGAACATGGGAGATCTTTCCATCTTCTGTAATCTTTCTTGATCTCTTTCTTCAGGGGTTTTAATTCTCCTTGTAGAGGTCATTCAAATCTTTTGTTAAATTTACTCCTAGGTATTTGATTTTTTTGAGTCTTTAGTGAACAGAATTGTTTCCATGTATTCCTTCACAGTATGTTCATTGTTGGTATATAGGAAAGGTAATAATTTTTGTAAGTTGATTTTGTATCCTGCCACTTTGCTATACCAGTTGATGGTGTCTAAGAGTTTTGGGGTAGAGTTTTTTGGGTCTTTAAAGTATAGGAACATATCATCTGCAAATAGGGATATTTTGATAGTTTCTTTACCTATTTGTATACCTTTTATTTCTTCTTTTTGCCTAATTGCTCTGGCTAGAAATTCCAGTACTATGTTGAAAATGGGTGGGGATAGTGGGCACCCTTGTTTTGTTACTGATTTTAGGGGAAATAGTTTCAGTTTTTCACAGTTAATTATGTTGTTGGCTGTAGGTTTATCATATATAGCCTTTACACTGTTGAGGTGCATTCTTTCTATTCCTAGTTTCCTTAGATCTTTTCTCATGAAGTGGTGTTGGATCTTGTCAAAGGCTTTTTTTGTATCTATTGAGATGACCAAGTGGTTTTGTTCTTGCTTATATTAATGTGCTGTATTACATTTATAGATTTGTATATGTTGAACCACCCCTGCATCCTTGGGATGAAGTTGACTTGGTCGTTGTATATAATCTTTCTGATGTGTTGTTGGATTTGGTTTGCCATTATTTTATTGAAGATTTTTGCATCAATGTTCATTAAAGGAAATTCGAGTACCGTTCTCCTTTTTCGAGGTGTCTTTGTCTGGTTTTGGTGTGAGAGTATTATTGTCTTCACAAAACAATTAGGCAATCTTCCTTCCTTTTCCATTTCATGGAACAGTTTAAGGCAGGTTGGTATTAGTTCTTGTTTAGACATCTGATAGAATTCAGCAGTGAATCCATCAGGTTCTGGACTTCTCTTTTTTGGGGGACTCTTAATTGCTGCTTCAATTTCATTTTGTGTTATAGATCTATTCAGATG